TCCAGCTGTGGGCTTTTGTCAAAGTACTAATAGGCTCCAAAATTCTCTCAACTAAACCCTGTTATCTACCAATATATTTTTATGTGTTAGTTTCGTAACAAACACCAGTAATTATAAAGCAAATAGCACTAATCTAAGGTCCTATGGGAAAATGTTTCAATAAAAGTCTTTGATGATATTCCTGCTGAAAGAAATTGTATTCCAACTTGGCATTTGCAACCTTTTATTTAAAAACATTGTTTTGAATTTTAACTTACTGTTCTATACTTTTGTAGTGGAAGACATTACAAAACTTTGTGTTGAAGAATGGAGTAATAAATGCCTGCATAGTATATATAAGAAAAAATAACTCAGGATCCCAAACCAATAGATTCAAATTACAAGAAAAATGGGTGCAATTTACAAGAAAGGAGATTCCGACTAAACATTAGGAAGAACTTTCTGATGGTTAGAGCTGTTCCAACAGTAGAATGGACTACTGCAGGTGATTGATTCACCTTCTTTGGAGGTTTTTAAATAGAGGTTGGATGGTCGTCTGTTAGGGTTTCTTTAGCTGTGCTTCCTGCATTGCAGAGGTTTGGACTAGATGACCCTTGGGTTTCCTCTTCCAACTTTACATTTCTATGATTCTAACTTCAAAAAATAAGGAGTGTTTATCTGCTTCCAGGTTAATGCACACTTCATCAAAGATAAGAGAATTAACTTTTTTTTTATTCATGAACTCTTAGACAGGTTCCCATTTCTATCACATAAGGCTCCCTGGCATTAAAACACATCACACTTAAAACAACACACACACAGTACAATTTCTGGCTGCTTAAAAATTAATGCTGCAATTCAGTGCACACTTACTTGGAAGTAAGATGTGTTGCACTCATTACCAGAGGAGCAAGTTCCAAATGCATTGTTTACAAGCCAGCTGTTGACAATAGTTTTCCAGCATAACCCTTAAACCATCTGTTCACTATCTGGCACAATTATTATATAGGGCTGCCCGCTTGTAAATCACCTGTCATTTCTATTTTAAAACCCTGGCTCATCAGCTGATGAGTAAGGGGTTAAATCATGTTGCTTTGGCTGCATGCACCAGTTCCATACTGGGAATAGGCATACAAAGCAAATGCAGCATTTAACTCCAATCATTTGGTTGCATCATGGGTGATATCAGTTGATGGTTTGGGGGAAATGGCCTCACAGGCCAAACTGGACCTACTGGCAGGTCAAGACTGACCTATAGACAAGAGGTTCCACTTCCCTGTCCTAAGAGCTCAAGGTGGTATACTTTGTTCCTCAATGTGCTTCATGGCTAGGTGAAGATTTTAACTAGATATTCCCAGTTCTAGCCCAACATTCTAATTATACTACACAAGCTCCCCTACTAAATATTACTAAAATAATAATAATTAGACAATTTAAGCAGTTCTTAACTTTTTTTGAAGGTAGACTATACAGATGATCTTTAGTCTCAAAATTTATAAACTCCATCATATCCAAGAAAATCCATGAAAAACCTAATGTTTTTCACTCTGTCCTAATGTTGCTTGTTTCACCACTCTCCTATTTAAATAAAGCCATAGCCTGTTACTTAACAGGATATGTTACTTCATAACTGTGAAGTATAAACATGTGAGATGCTATCCAGTAGAAACTAATCCGTTACACAGAAGTAATTTACTACCAATGGATCACAAACCATCCCAAAAACATTTTTTATTTTAAACACAGGACATTTAATTGCACATGCTGATGTGTACAAGTGTTCTTGCTCCTACAAGTGCATTAAAAAGCTTTCTCGATTGTGAACATATTTTCTATATTGCCTCAAATATGTTTTGCTGACTTTTAAACACATCTTAATCTATCTTTACTATGAATTGTCAGTTTTGAAAACTACTTTGGTTTCATTTTTAGAAGAAACTGAACATTTCAAGCTACTTTTGAAGAGACTGTCAAATGGAATTCATGTCTTGTTCATACGTCCTCAGTAAGTTATACAGGCTTTGTCACTTCTTATTCATGCTCTATAGTTCAGTTCTCGGTCAAATACAGCATAGAAAGCGGCTGTTTGTGGAAGAGGTACTTAAAAAATGAAATCTTAATATATAGTACAAAACTGAAGTCACTGAATGCTCAGGTTTGTATTTATTAAATAAAAAGGTCATATTTTTAAAACATACTACTAAGAATACATGTAAGTTTTGATTGTTTAGAAGTTTATATGATGTGAAGTATTCTGAATCTTTTGGGGCACAGAGCAGCAACTTTCTTTGATCAAACTAGAAAACAAGGTGCAAATAATATGAAGAGAAATCATATGTTACTCTGAAAAAAAGAGTCCTATCCATGCTGGAAAAAACCTGACAGCCCCTCACTAACAATAAATTATCTATATTATCAAAAATGATTTTCTGGGTGTGCTACAGTATTTGTAGTCATAGTCCATGTGGATTCTTCAGAAGACCCCTGTGGCTGTCAAGGCCTTATCTCTAAGTTCTAAGAGGCGGAGCGGCCATGCTGCAACCAAAAAGAAAGTGACCTGCACAAGACACCATCAAGCATTGCATCCCCATGGCAATAATGACCAACATAAAGGGAAATTACGGAGGAATTAAGCTGGGCACCCTACAATAAGTTTCGAGACACCCCTAATTAGACACACACACCTCCAAGTAGTCTCCTCTATGAGACAACATGGAACTGCTTGCAGCCCATATTCATTTTGGATGCAGGACCCTGTATCACTGGGGAGTAAACCCAGCTTATTATGAGATGCACACTTTCAGTTCTATCCTAAATAGGGTCCATCGAGAGGTTCACAATCAACTATTTAAAAATGAAATAGCAGCAACAAAAACATCAACAGCCAGACACAGTACCAGAAAAGGTATATTCAAATAAAGCTGTTGCATGATTGCATACAGGGAAGTTGTTTGCTGGGTCTCATGGGACAGTGCATTCTATAACCTATTCACTGGTACTTCATCACTCTCTGCAACTCAGGGTGGTAGGACATGTGGCAGGCTTTCCTACTGAATTGTGTGATCAGTTTAATGAAGAGCTGGTCTTTCAGATATCTAGGTTCCAAACATGCTGACATGTGCAATGCACAGAGAACTTAAGGGAGGAAGTCTCTCACCATGGTGAGCACTTGGAAGAAGGGATAAATAACATTTATCAAAGTTCCCCTCCCAAAATAATTATCTGCTATGTAGGTGCCCCTTCTGCTACTACTTCACTTATCTGTAATCCTCTCTCACACTTGCTGCTTACCCTTCTCACATGAATCTTCTTCCAGGAAGTGATGAAAGGTTTTGAGATCTGGAAGATACACGTGGACATGTTTTTCTAGTAGCTATTCTAGTTTCTTGCAGGAAGGGTGGAGGGTGCTGCTTTCACCGAATATTAGTGTAACAGCATGCAGAGAGTAAGAAAGAGGGACTTGGTCATTTGGTGCAACTCTAGTTAGTTGCAACTAAACATGAACCACTGTTCTAGGATTCCAACTATCATTTTGGTTGTTAGTTGTGAAGGTCAATGGTTTAACTAACTTCTATATTTTCCTCACACTCAGATTGGAATTTCACCTTAACATTCTTAGGCCCATAGAAATCTGATCCCTCCCCTTTGCCTTTAATTGATATAACCATAAGCCAAGGCAATAATATTCACTTCAACCTGGAGACCACTGAGTGTTCTGATTTCGAAGCCAGTTGTTGGGTTCACGATAAACCTTTGCTTTAAAGCCAAACATCACCAAAAGTTTACAGTAACAATTAGAAGTTTCTGTCCCATTTCCTTCAAACCTGGGCATGACATGAGCAAAGAAAAAGGATAAGCCCTGTTGTTATTTAAACACCTCCCTTGAAAGAAACTTTTCCAGAAAAGCATTACAATAGAACAGAAACCAGCTGTTTTAGATGACTGCTACAACTTTTGTTTCAGCAAGCCTATCCTGACAAGTAAACAAGTTATGTATATCTGTATTAAAATTTTCTGATTTTATTTGAAAATCAATGCAGTAATTGTTTTATATTGTTCTCTGTACACCACTTAGGGATTTTCCACTAAAACCCTTTATAAATTCTTTTAAATAAATCAATGCAATATAATACAGGAAGATTAAAAACATAAACAATAAATCAATAATGCCAAATCAGTATTTTGGCAAACAAGTATAAACCTCATGAAATAAAAAGAATAAAGTTTAATATTTGATCAAAAATTAAGATTTAACTTTTCCTAAGTGATTTCCACAGAAATCACGGGTCTGATGTTGCTGTGGCTTTGGACAGCATTATTTAAATCAGCTATGCTTACACAAACATTAACACTGGAAGTTTCTTGGTAATGGGAAGATGAAGCTTGATCTGTGATGTTCTGCAGTTGACCAAAATCTAACCAAATTCTGCAAACATTACCCAATCCTGTAGAAACCTATGAGCACAGCACTTCTTTAGCGCAAGAACCTCAATTACATAATTCTACACAAATATCTAATTGCTTATTCACACTTTTAAATGTGAGTACTATTTTCATTAGTAACAGGAAGAAATGCCTACTTTAAATGGCCCAATACACATATAGCACCATCAAGTGCACACACATTTAAATGGTTTTCCTACATTAAAGGAAGCAGTGAGTGGGACAGGATCAAACCCTTTGCAGAAAACCACTAATTTACAATACAAGTACAGTATAGTGGTACCTCGAGTTACAAACGCCTCATGTTACAAACGCTTCAGGTTACCAACTCCGCTAACCTGGAAGAGTTACCTTGAGTTGAGAACTTTGTCCCAGGATGAGAACGGAAATCATGTGCTGGCGGCGCAGCGGGAGCAAGAGGCCCCATTAGCGAAAGCACACCTCTAGTTAAGAACAGTTTCAGGTTAAGAACAGACCTCCAGAACAAATTAAGTTCGTAACTAGAGGTACCACTGTATTCATAATTTAGTAACTTAAAGTATAACTGAACAGAAAATAACAAAAATGTTATTATGTAAATATATACATATACATACACACACACATATATATATATATATATATATGTATGTATATGTATATATATAGATATATATACTTATATACACATATATATATATATATATATATATATATATATATATATACATGCCTAGGTTTAATGTTAAACAATGCAGGACACATTTTCATATTTAAATATTAATCTCTACTATTGCACTCTTTTCAGATCTTCACCATCACACACAAGAAGCATTTTTTACATAAATCCTCAAATATAGTTCAGGTACTTAGCAGAAAAATGCAATGCAATACAAATCTAAAGCTTTGGGGGCAGCTTTAAACACATATGGCTGCTACAGTTTAGGTTATTACTGTAAGCACACTTGTACTGACTTCAGTGAAACTTGGAAGTGTTTGGTATGCAGGTGTTAATTTGAGTCTTTTAACTTTCAGATCCTCTGTCATTACAATCAGACAGTTCATAAACATTGCTCTCAAATTCCATTACATTGTTTCCAGCACATAATTAGGTAGTCATTTTTTCACACAAAATGAATTGTGAGAACTATTTATCGGGTATTAATGTGATACAATTTTTTTGGAAGTCCATTATCAATTCCAACAATAACACTTCAGACAGAGTACTTCAGAATTACCACTATGCAACCAATAAAATAACTCAATATGCAATTGTCAGATAAACAAACACACAGGAGTATCTTTTAATCACTCAGAAAGCAGTCACATAAGATAATGATTCAGTCATTCACATTACAACCACAGAAAACCCACTTAGCCTGACCACCAGTCTTTCCCATTCTCATGCTTCTGCCTATCTTGCCTGCTTCCTCTAAGTAAATATAAAAGAAATTAATTTTATGTTAACTGCATGAAAACTGTATTAATAACACACCAGCAATAACCTTTTGCTGCTGCTGGAAATAGACCATTATAATTTTGTTTTCTAGTTTTCAAACCAGAATGTATTTCCTTGCAAAGAGTTTATGATTCTTTATATCACACCTGAAGCTGTGTTCTTCACAGGTATCGACTGTACCAAAAAGGAAACTACACAATGTTGTCTCAGTTTTCTTTCCTGTCCCATCTTGACATTTGCAGGAAGTAATTCTAGTATAAAATGCACTGCTATCAAAACAACTTCTGAACTTTCCCCTTTACTCAAAATGCATCCTCTGATTTCTACATATTTATAAGCAGTGACAGAAGACACTCTCCCAAAAAAAACTAGTAACTGGGTTATGAACATATAAAGCATTACTTGACACATCAACAGGTTCTCAGAGGTTTAATTGCCAAAACAAAGGATGAAAACAACAAAAGAAAAGAAAAGGATTAAGCACCTTGCCTCCAGGGCATGATCTCCTTGAAACTGCTCAATGAACTATTTTTCTGTATTACCTTATTCCATTGCTACGTTGAAATAAATTGACAATTACTTTAAAAATACCAAGTTACAGCAACTTAAAAAACAGGTGTTTTATTTAAAAGCTTAGCTTTGAAAGCTGAGAAATGGATATGAATTCTGAGGAACCATTCATGTTTATCATTATTTACTTAGCCCCCTCATATCTCGAACAGAGCTGTAACTCTTGTGCATTTATTGCTCAAATGTTGTAACAGCCAATCTCTAAACATTTGCAGAGGTTCTACTATTCTGTTAGGCTGGGCCAGTGGTAAATATTTATTAGACAAAAAAATGAAATATTACTTCAAAGTGACCAATGTAACTATATCACAGGTCCTGCTTTTGCCTACAGGTTGGCATAGGATGGTTAAAACTTTGTTACAAAAGCATTTTAAGGTATCTGCCATGTAGCAGCTCTCCTCCTCATTTTATATCCAGAACAGGATGTTTCCATTCAACTGTTCCATGAGCTTTGCTGCAGCAAATCTTGCATTCAGGAGAGGCGTCAAATCTCTCATAATTAAAGTGATTTATTTCTATACCCAGTTTCCTCGCTCTCTCTTGTGTAGATTTCTAAACCTCTAACATAGGTAGAGCTAAAACCTTGCCATACAACTCTGCAATTAATGCTTGAACTACAAAGTGACTATGAGCTAATTTAACTAACATGAAATGTTTTTCCCATGTATTGGGAGCAGCACAGGGGTGGTGTGTGTGTTTGTGTGTGGAGATCAGCACCATTTAGACAGACAGCAGGCAACAAAGCTATTTCAAACAATAAAGGTGGCAATGAAGCTACCTGGTGTAACAAAGTAGTAGAGGCTCACCCAATCAACAGATTGTAAGAGACAAAACCTCTCTTCAACATGTCAAACCCAATGGGCTACAAGGTAATAGGGTTAAATCATTCACACATTTCAGCAACAGAGGAAAGATGCCATCTGGGGCTATTCTTTAATCTTATACAATTAAAAATAGATGTACTATCAAATCCCTCTGCTTGGCAACAGACTGAAGTCACAAGACTATCTGAGAGCACCTAAAGTTGAGAATAATTAATACAATTAAATCCACTTTTTCAGATCAAGCATTTGAAGAAGCACGGGTTAGAACTGTATGGGCCTATGTGACAGAGCAGTATTCCATACACTCTCCTACTCAACAACAAAACAAGAAAGTGAACTAAAAAGGGCCAGGAGTTGGACAGAGAGTGAGAACAGGTCATAAGCACAAGGTGGAAATGTAATCTGAAGGGATCCTGGTACAAAAGCTGGCAGGAGGAAGGAAGTCTCCGTTGCTACCCCCCCAAAAAAAGATCTGTGTTGGAAGAGAAGTCATCACTAATTAACAGTAAAGAAAAGGTATTACTTCCGGAGGTGTGGGATTTATCTGCCTCAGGCCTTGGGAAGTGTCACTAGGTAGATATGAGAAACCTGTCAGGAGGAGGCACCAGGGATGCCATGAGTAGGAAAGTGGGCAGGAGCTTGTTAAGCAGGGCAGAGTAGAAGCATATGGCTAAAGGGAGCAAGCTCTCCAAGGACCAGCGAAAGATAAAGGGAGACCTCCCAGATTAAATGACAAAGTAGCTCATGAAGAAAGCCCCTCCCTTCAGTTTCCATGTTGGGGAAGAGGATGGAGAGGGAAGGCAGATCAGGAAGAGAACAGGCACCTGGACCAAAAAAAAAAAAGGAGGGGGAGGGAGTGGGACAGAGCACGAAGGAGCACTTAGAGGACACCAGAGTAGTTAGGATCCTGCATGTTGGGGGGGGGGAGGGGGCGCCTGAGGGATCCGCTTTCTCTGTTTTTTTTTGGGGGGGGGAGCGAGAGAAGAGAGGCAGCCCCATCCCCAGAGCTCTTCCTACACAGGAGCTGCGGCAGGGACCCCTGCACCCCTTACCAGGTTCAGCACGGTCTCCACGATGTCCCGGTTGCTGACCTCGCCGACTTGGATGAGTCCGATCAAGACGGCGAATTTCATGCGGATGTTGCGGATGGGCACGGACGGGTTGATCATGCCGGCGGGAAGCACCACGGACCCGGAGCCCGACGCCCGCAGCTCCCCCATCACGGCCGCCGCCGCCAAGCCACCTCCACCACCTCCTCCTCCTCCTCCCGTCGTCGTCGTCGTCGTCGGTGCTGGTGGCGGTGCTGCTGCTACTGCTGCTGCTACTGCTGCTCCCGCGGCGCCTCCAACTCCTCCGCCGCTGCTGCTGGCCCCGACAGGGATGAGCCCCGCCGGCTGCGGCTCCGGCCCCGACCCCGGCTTCTCGCTCGCCATCTAGCCCTGGCCGCTGCCAACACTACCTGCCGCCGCCGCCGCCCTGGCCGAGAAGCTGCGCATCCACCGCAGCGGCACAACCGCAGCAACAGCAGCAGCAGCAGCGCCCGGCGGGGCCGCAGGGAGCGGACCGGAGCCGCCGCCGCCGCCGAAGGGCCGTCCCAGGAGCCGCTCCCGCGCCCGCCTCTATAATGAGGGATTATTATGGGCGCCGCTGCCCCGTTAGCCGAAGCCGCTTCTCCCCTCACGGCGCCACAAAAGCGGCCGAGACAGGGGGCTTGCGCGCTGTGGGCCGCCGGCAGAGGCTTCGGGGCGGCGGCGGTGGGCTGGAGGGGGGGGACAGCGCGGAGGAGAGCGGGAAGCTCGCCCCGCAGCCCCCGCTGTTGTTGTGGAGCCGGAAAACGCCGCCGCCGCCGCCGCTCACTCCGCCATGTTGCCGCCCCCTGCCTGCGGTAGCCGCCAGGGCGCCTGCGCTGCGGAGCCCGTGGGGGGAGTGGCCGAGCTCCCTCAGCAGCAGCCCCTGCTCGCTCGCCCCGCTCCTCCTTTGCTCACTCTCGCCCGGGAGACGCCGGGAGAGGAGGCGCGGAGCTTGGCCCAGGCTTCTCTCAGTCGCGGCCGTTCACCTTCTCGGTCTTGGGAGGAGGAGGGCGGCGGCAGCGGCAAGACCAGGGCTGTTGTTGCGACTGTGAGGGGATTTGGTTACACAGCGTGCGGGGTTTGGTTTGGTTTTGTTGCTTCCTCCGCCCGCCACAGACACCCCGTCCCCGCAATGAACACAGCAAAAGGCGACGAGACCCGCGGGCACAAGGATGCCCACAGGAGTCCGCGGCGGGTCCCTCGCGAGGACCGCGGGCCGGGTGGATGGACAGGTGTCGTTCCCGCCTCTCCGCACACCGCGCGCGCCGGCGCCTGCTGCCTCTGGGAATCCAGCCGCCTGCCAAAAAGCGCGGGCTTCTGCTGCAGCCGCGAAAAAAAGCGTTTGTGGAGAAGGATGCGTTTGGTTTTACGTAGAGGCTTCCCAAACCTACCATCGAATGACGGCTCGCATCCCTGTCTGTGAGGACTGTACTGTAAAACATCATCGTGATTTTTGGCTGGCACGGCTTCCCTCCAAAACCACGGTCCTCCCAATCCATGGTGCCGCCAAGGTCCGAGCCATTATTCTACATTTTTTAAGCATAGGATTCCCCACAAATCAATTGGCTCTTGTGGGCAGCCGCGTAAAAGTCATGCATCCATAGTGGCACTGCCATATGCAACTGAGGCATGGATCCTGGTGGATTCTCAATACTGTATGGTTGTATGGTAGTGTTGTCATCCATCTCTGTTGGCTCCAGCATTAAAAAAACACACAAAACAAACTAGTGCTTGCTCGTGCT